TGATGAATATTAATGATAAGTGTATTAGATTTTAGCGGGTATTAGATATTAGCACCATGTAAACGGCTCCTTATGATCGTTACCTTTGTATTTACTCTTTTACCATTATTCTGTTTATATATACATGTATCTGTAATAGCATAGGTATGTTAATAATTAATATCACTTTCTCTGTTTTCCTCTTTCACGGTCTCTCCAGCCCTTCTTCCTCTTTCTCTTTCTTTCCTTTGCTCTCATGGTATCAGAGCCATAGAGGAAGTTCAAGAACCACATGGAATCCTTACCCCCTCCTTCCTCCTCCTCCTTCTCATCCGCGTCCTCCTCCACTCAAACCACCTCCACCACCGCAGGAATCTCCACCGGCATCCCCCCAAACCTCAAGTTTCTTGTCTCCAACATCAAGAACCTTGCTCCTCATCATCTCACGCCGGAGAACTACCCAATCTGGAGGGCGCAGATTCTACAGCAATTTACCGCAAATGGGTTCGCCGGACACCTTCTTGGCACCACTCCGGCTCCACCCGATCCAGCTTCTCCCGAATACGCTCAATGGCTTGTTATTGACAGCAATCTCCTTTCAGCACTTTTTGCAACAGTATCTCAATCCATCTCGCCGTACATTATCACCTCCTCCACCGCCACGGCCGCATGGACTGTTCTTGAAAAGCGACTTCAACCGACGAGTCGTTCCCGCGTCATTCAGCTCAAAAATGAGCTCTATCGCACGCAAATGAAGGATCTCTCCGTGCAACAATACCTTACACACATTAAGACAATCATCGATAACATCTCAGCCTCCGGCTCCAAGATCGAGTCCGAAGATGTCATGCTTCATTCTCAACGGACTCCCGTCGACATACAACTCTTTCAAATCGACAATCCGCAATTCTCTCCTACCAATCGACCTGGATACTTTCTACGCTTTACTATGCAACAAGGAGATTCACCTTCAGCAAGAAAATCTTCAAGAACCCTCACCTACCGCTCTCTACGCTGCCCCGTCTAACTCATCTCGCAATCGGAATAATAATAACAACAGGAGATTTACTAAACCCAAGAACCAACAATCACCACATACTCCCTCTGTTCCGACCCCAGCTTCCAACGCAGCACCTGCCTCGGCAAGACCCACCTGTCAAATTTGCGGCAAACTTGGGCATATTGCCCTCAATTGCTGGCATCGTCACAACCCCAAATACGCTCCCACCGACAATCGGCAACCTCGGGCTCTCTTCGCAAATCCGTCCGCTCAAGTCAGTCAAGATTGGATTCTTGACTCCGGTGCCTCCGCACACCTAACTCCCGACGCCAACCACCTCTACTACCCGACGGCTTACCATGGCTCTGACACGGTCTCCACCGCAAACGGTAACAACCTTCCTATTACCAATGCCGGTCAAGGTCTCCTTCCTTTGCCGGACAACGCTCGTAAGTTACAACTAAACAATCTCTTACACGTCCCTATACTCACTCACAATCTTCTTTCCGTCTCAAAACTTATTTCCGATAACTATGTTACTATTTCATTCGACGCTAACGACTTTGTCATAAAGGACTCACGGGACCACCGTCCGCTGCTTCATGGACATCTCAGTAACGGCCTCTATCACCTCCGCACCGTCCCAGCCACCAAGAATTCGGCTCTCATGGTCTCCTCCAACGCCCCGTGCAATTGGCATTCTCACCTAGGCCACCCGAACAAAGACACACACAACACTTTGTCTCGTTTAGTTCCGGAAATCTCTACTGTACATCACTCATTCTTTTGTAACTCTTGTAATTTGGCTAAAAGCCACAAGTTAGTTTTTAATAAAAGAGTTACTATTACTTCGGAACCCTTTGAGCTTGTTCACACCGACGTCTGGGGGCCGTCTCCTCACATATCCCTCGACGGTCATCGGTACTACATCATCTTTGTCGATGACTACACTCGTTATTTGTGGCTCTACCTTCTTCACACTAAAAATGAAGCTCTCACTGCTTTCAAGAACTTTCTAAATCTTATAAAAACTCAACACAATAAAACCCCAAAGATTCTTCGCTCCGACGGCGGAGGTGAATTCACTAGCTTCACCTTCCGCCACCTGCTACAGGACCACGGCATCACTCATCAGTTGACTTGTCCTCACACGCCAGAACAAAACGGCGTCGCTGAACGCAAACATCGTCACCTTCTGGACCTTACTCGCGCTCTTTTACATGAATCCGGTCTACCTAACAAGTTTTGGTCTTCTGCGCTCTCCACCGCCCACTACCTCATCAATAAACTTCCCTCCAAATCTATCTCTAATCAAATACCACAACAACGCCTCATCGGTACCTATCCGACCTACACACACCTTCGAACTTACGGCTGCTTATGCTATCCTTGGTTAAAGCCTTACTCCACGGACAAACTCGCCCCTATATCTCAACCTTGTGTTTTTCTCTGTTACTCACCTCAACAAAAAGGCTACTTATGTCACAATCTTACCACCGGTCGCACCTACACCTCCAGACACGTTATCTTTTATGAAACTCAGTTCCCATTCAAACATCACTCAACTAAGCCTATTCCGGACCAACAGGATCGTAGTTGTCCCATACCACCGCTTCTTCTAACACCTTCATCCAATATCACTCCTTCCCCTGCTACACACATTCCACTTCCACACACTATTGCCACCAACTCTGTGATTTCCGAACCACACTCTACACACATTCTGCCTTCACAGCAAGACCCTTCTCACATCTCACACTCGCCACCTGATACTCTCAGCTCGTCCCCACAACTCACTCCCACACCTCCTCCTGTCCATCACATGCAAACTCGACTTAAATCCGGTATTCGCAAACCCAAGCCGGTCTTCAATTTGCTCGCTCAAGTCACTCCCCCGGTTACTCCTCCTACTTACCTTCAGGCTCTCAAATCTGAACCATGGCGGGCGGCAATGCAGGCCGAATTCGACGCCCTTCATCAGCAATCTACCTGGTCGCTTGTTCCTCCCCCGTCAGGCAAGCCGGTCCTAGGTTGCAAATGGACTTACAAGATCAAGCTCCTACCCAATGGGAACGTCGACCGCTACAAGGCTCGCCTAGTTGCTCTCGGATACGATCAGAAATTTGGTATTAACTACAATGAAACATTCAGCCCGGTTGCGAAGATGCCAACAATCAGACTTCTACTTGCTCTATCCCTCAATCGCGACTGGCCTGTCTATCAACTTGACATTGCAAATGCCTTTCTACACGGAGATCTACCAGACGACATCTATATGCGCCAACCGCCGGGTTTCACCGATCCAACTCAACCAAACGCAGTCTGCAAACTTCACAAGTCTCTCTACGGACTAAAGCAAGCCCCAAGACAATGGTTTCAAAAGCTAACAACTTTCCTACAACAACTCGATTTTGGGTTTAGTCGTTCCGATCCTTCCCTCTTGATCTTTAATCAAAATGGTATTTACATATATTTGCTAATTTATGTGGACGATTTCTTGGTTACAGGCAACGACGATGCAGCTATTCGCTTACTCCTCACCAAACTCAAACAGCAATTCGCCCTCAAACAACTAGGGGACATTTCTCTCTTCCTCGGAATCCAGGTGACCCGTACTAAACATGGTTTCTTTCTCTCTCAAGCACACTATGCTACCAAAATCCTTAATGATGCAGGATATAAGGATTGCAAAGCTGCTCCAACTCCAATTACTCCTATCAATCACCAGAAGAAACCGAACTTACAGCCACATCCGGATCCGTCCCTATACCGACGCCTCGCTGGATCACTTCAATACCTCTCGATCACAAGACCCGACATTGCGTATGCCACAAACCGCGTCTTCCAACATATGCAAACACCGACCAAACAGGACTTCCACGAACTCAAACGACTGCTATGCTACATCAAGGGAACTCTCTCCTACGGCTTGCCTATCACTCATGGATCTCTGGATCTTCGCACTTACTCAGATGCGGACTGGGCTTCAGATACAACCGACCGGAAGTCGGTATCTTGCTTCTGCACTTTCATCGGCCCCAACCTCATCTCATGGACAGTGAAAAAGCAAGCAACCGTCGCCAAGTCTTCCACCGAAGCTGAGTACCGATCCCTCTCCGCCGCCGCGTCAGACGTCATATGGCTCAGAAGACTTGCCGCCGAACTTCAGCTAACACAGCAATCACCGACTACTATCCACTGCGACAACACATCGGCTATGGCCATAGCCAAAAATCCGGTCTTTCATGCCCGAACTAAGCACATCGAGATCGACTATCACTTCATTCGTCAGCAAATCAACTCCGGCAACATCAAACTCGCGCACATCTCCTCCGCCGATCAAATTGCCGACATTCTAACTAAACCGTTCTCGGTCTCTAGATTCATGGAATTACGCACCAAATTAACCACTCGATCACCGACTGCTTAATTTGAGGGAGGATATTAGCACCATGTAAACGGCTCCTTATGACTGTTACCTTTGTATTTACTCTTTTACCATTATTCTGTTTATATATACATGTATCTGTAATAGCATAGGTATGTTAATAATATCATTTTCTCTGTTTTCCTCTTTCACGGTCTCTCCAGCCCTTCTTCCTCTTTCTCTTTCTTTCCTTTGCTCTCATTAGACACGTGTTGATGAAGAGCATCATAAGTTGAGTGATTGACTTAGACATTATACTTAGAAGAGAAAATTTTAATCAATCATAATAAGAATAAACACACCAATGACACGTAAAAATTAAAAATTAGTGATTGGTGGGCGTTGGAATTAATGTTGATAGGCAAAAGCCATCAACATGAGCCCTATCAAGGTATGAGAGTTGTCCTAATAGTCATATGGCCAGGGAGGATGATCAATGACAAATGAGTCTGCATGGAGGATATATCTAGTCATGGGAGATGTGATCTTCTTAGAGAAAAAATGAAAAATATGACTAAAAGGGGAAAAAAAAAAAAGATAAAAGTTCGAGTAATTTTATTATAAAAACAAAAGATGAAAGCCATTCAGTGGTTTTCATCCTTTGTCCATTAGAGAAATTGCTGAAACAATTGAGACATCAAACTTTCTCCTTTCGCTCCATAAGCCCCTTTATACACATCCCAGAAATAGAGTTATGTGTTACAGTACTACTTTGTGATTTTAGCGTATTTTTTCAGAGATCGAATAAAATCCCAACATAACTGATTACACCTTTATTTAGATTTAACAATTATAATGTATTTCTTAAATTAAGAGTGAATATGATCTACATCTAATCATTAATATTATTTCATTAAAATTAGGTTTTTCTTTTCATTATTATAAGACTTTTATCTTAGATTGTGTTTTTATTTCAAGAAGATATTATTCTAAGATCATTAAATTTGCTGAAAATTATTCATATAATATTTTTATATGAGCATATATTAATAATTTAAAGAACAATATGAATGAAATAATTAAGAAATGTAATTCAGAAATTGAAACAGCAAGGAACAAAATATAATAGTAAATCTGAAACTCAGCAATATCATTAATAAAACTATTACATCTAATCACTAAATTCTCTGTTCTATCATCTGCTTCACCAGCAAAATGAACAGAGTCTAATTCTTCTTCCTCAACATCCATGGATTCCCTGAATAAAATTGCGTCTTTGTAGCCGTTGCTCTCAGCGGCGAAGTCGTCCCTTCCGCTCCCCGAACATTCACAGTCGTCGCTCCCTCCTCTGACTTCAATCCAGTTGTCATCCCACGCCCAGGTCGCCGGCGGGGACTCAAGCTGCCGGATTCTATCTGGTAAGTTCAATTCCAGTGAAGCTAGTCCCTCGTGCTCCTCCTCATCCTCTGTTTCCGAGTCCCATAATTCAAACTCCATGGTGCTCTTTGGGGAAATCCGCTTTCCCTGTTTCCAGCTGGAGCAGATCTCCTCTGATTCGACAATAAATGGGTGGCGGAGAAGCTGCTCCGTCGTCCACCTCTCCTTCGGATTTCTCCTCAAGCACTTGGACACAAAGTCCTTTCCTTTATCCGAAATCCATTCCGGCATCGCCGGCACGTCAGAAGAAAACGAAATTTTGTGAATAGCCGCAACTGGATTAGTAGCTTCCGGCCACGGTGACTTCCCTGTAGCCATCTCCACCACTGTGCACCCAAGAGACCAAACATCGCCGGCGATCCCCTGTTCCTCCCCTCGCACCACCTCCGGCGCCATGAACGCCGGCGTCCCCATCACCGACCGACAGCCATCACCAACTCTCCTTGCGCAACCGAAATCCGCAAGCTTGACGATGGCCTCGGAGCAGAGAAGAACATTCCTCCCCTTTACATCGCAGTGGGCGATGCCGTTCGAATGGAGGTAGGAGAGCCCGAGAAGGATCTGGCGAGTAAAAGATTGGATTTTTGGCTCGTCCAGACGGCCCGCGAGATCGGAGAGAGTTCCCCCTTCTGCGAGCTCGAGGAAGAGGCTGTAGGAGTCGCTGGAGATTTCAAAGCCGAGGCAGGAGATGATGTGAGGAGAGGAGAGGGAGGAGAGCATGCTCTGTTCTCTTTGAAGAAGAGCAGAGCGCGAGATGGGGGACGACTTGACTGCGAAGAGATCACCAGAATCGGCTTCCGCGGCGAGGCAGACGGTGGCCGTGGCGCCGCAACCGATGGTCTGGCCAACTTTCCAGCTACCTTTTGGTGCCATCTTCGATTGGGATCGTGTTTGCTTCTGCTTCTTCTGCTTGTGAAGTGGAAAAATCTGCTTTATGAGCTCTCCGTGTTCTCTTTCTCTATATATAGAGAGTGGCGGAGACGAAGTTAGAGGGATCGTCAACATGTTTGTGCTCTTTTCTTTGATCTTTTTCACGTTTCTTTTGAGTCTGATAGGTACAACGAACGTGTTGAGCAGGTGGGAAAGATACACGTTTCTCTTAAGTTTATTAAGTAAAGATTTTTTAAAAATTTAATGAATTTTTTTGGATTGGAATTCCCCTAAAAAGTTTATATTTCGGCACATTTAAATTTTTCTAAAAAAAAAAATTTGATGCAACGAACGCTATAATGACTGATGTGTAATTTGTCACGTGTGAAAATAAAAAGTGGTAAAAGAAAAAAAAAATTGAGAGGATTTATGGAGAAAGTTTTGGTTGAATAAATAAAGGGAGAACATTCTAATTCATTACATTTTATATCTTTATACTATATTAGTAAAATATTTTTATAATTTTACAACATTCGTAGCATTCTATGACTTCATTTGAGATAGCTTTAGAAAAAAATTTGTACTAAAATGCTGCTTTCGAAAGCAGGAATTTGCTATTAATAGCCTACTAAATTGTCCGGTAAGTAAAGCTTATTTATAATTTACAAGCAATTTATGTTCACGAATAAACACATCATAGACTATTAAGATAATCAAGAATATGTTAGAAAAAATAATAGACAAATTACCGATGGAAATTAATAAAATTATAATGAAATTGATGAAGAGAAAAACGATAGGTGATCTGTCGTAACATCAACTGGAAGAGTTAATACGATGCATTTGAAATATTCGAAAGATAGAAGTTATTTGATTAATGCTTTGTTTGGGATAGCTTTCTTAATGTTTTTTAAAATATCTTTTTAATCCAAAAATTTATAGATCAAGAATTTTTGTACTAAAAAATGTTTTAAAAAATAGTAAGAAAGCTATCCCAAACGAAATCAAACTCTACCGGACAATAATATTTCATTTCATAAAATTTATTAATCCATAAGCAATACGCATTAAACAATCCATTAATTCATTTTTTTAATTACATATATAAAAATCAGTAAATTCAATTTTATATCATTACAATTGATTAGTAAACCCATCAGAGGCTCAAAGCTATTAAAAAAATTTATTTTAATATTTAATACATCATAATAACTAATAAAGAAAAATATTTATTATATTTTCAAATCACAATTGAATATGCTAAGAAATTCAGCTCATTTTAGTCTGTTGTGAGCTTTGGCTATCCACCAAGAGATCTTAAATTTGAGTCTTATGTATGCGATCTGTGTGAGTTTGTGTTAGATTTTATTTGAGATGACTTTCTTAAAACAATTTTTTGATATAATAATTCTTCTAAATAATTTTCTAATAAAAAAATTAAAACTTTTATACTAAAAAATCGTTTTAAGAATTAATAAAAAAATCGTTCAAAATGAAAACAACTTTCTAGTATAAAAATAAAAGATTGGGGTCGATTGAAACGTCTGTTGGGAGCTTGGTGCAGGACAGATTAGCTGCAGAGTTGCAATGTGTTAGTTTGGACTGCTGAATGATGGAGGAAGCATATGTGTATTGAGATAAGAAATACGTATCTTGGTGTTTTTGAATTTTGATGCCGAGAAAGTGATTTGCATCACCTAGGTGTTTGAGGGCGAAGATATTGTGGAGTTTATTGAGAAAGACGGTGATTGCTGCCTCGTCGTTGCTGGTGACGAGTATGTCATCAACGTAGACTAGAAGAAAGATTTTGGAGGTACCCGTGCACAGCGTTAACAGGGATGGATTGGACTTGCTGTGTTGGAAGCCGAGTGTGAGGAGGTAGTTGGAGAATGTGGGGTACCATTGTCGAGGGGCCTGGCGCAGGCCATATATGGCTTTCCGCAGATGGCAAACATGATGCGAATGAAGGGAATCCTCGAAACCTTTGGGCTGCTTCATATAAACCGTGTCATCCAGATTGCCGTGGAGGAAGGCATTCTCGACATCCAGCTGATGCACCTTCCAGTCGTTGTGTAACGCGACGGTAAAGAGGACGCGTATCGTTGGGAGTTTTGCAACTGGGCTGAATGTTTTGCCGTAGTCAAGCCCGATTTCCTGCTGATTCCCGAGCGCCACTAGTACGTCGAGCTTTGAAGCGTGCTACGGAGCCGTCGGAGTGGAATTTCCTTCTGAACGTCCATTTGCATCCCAGAACTGGTGTATTGGGAGGCGGCGGAATTGACAGGTTCCCTGTCTTTGCAGGGCGAAGAACTCGGCTGCCATCGCTTGTCGCCATTCGAAGGATTTATTTGCTTCAGTGTAGCTGGTCGGATCGGTAGATGTGGCTTCATTATGAATGAGGTTGAGTCGGTTTAGAGGTTTGAGTGTGCCTGTTTGAGTTCGAGTAATCATTTGGTGCCTGGTAACCAGACGTTCTGATGGGACGATGCTGGAATTGGCAGTGGACAGTGAGCGAGACGGAGAAGGCTGCCGGGAGCAGGTTCTGGGAGAAGGTATGATTTGGGATTCCGGTTGAATAGGAGTAGTGGTTGTACGTTGGGATGGTGGATTTACAGACACCGGTATGAGCAGAGATGGTGGGAGCGTAGTATGATCCGGCGGTAGCGAGGTGGTCGATTGGGAAAAGGGGAAGGATGATTCTATGAATCTCACATGTCTGGATATAAGAATTCTGTTGGTTCTTCTGTCAAGACATTTATACCCCTTCTGGTTTTTAGGATAGCCTAGAAAGATGCACGATATAGAGTTAGGCTGAAGTTTATTGTGAGCGTGATCGGGAAGCAGGGGAAAACATTCGCATCCGAATGTTCGGAGATGGGAGTAATCTGGAGTGCGTTGAAACATAAGCTGTAGAGGGGAAACATTGTTAGTGGTCTGTGTAGGCATGCGGTTGATGAGGTAGACGGCGGTATTGACGGCGTCCAGCCAGTAGGTAGTTGGCATTGAGGCGGTATGGAGCAGAGTGCGTGCTGTGTCAACAATGTGACGATGATTCCGCTCGGCGAGACCGTTCTGCTTGGGCGTGTACAGGCAGGAGCGTTGATGTTGTATTCCTCTGTTATGAAGAAATTCATCAAAGATCTGATTGACGAACTCCCGGACGCCGTCTGTACGGATGGCTTTGATATTCCTGTTAGTTAGTCTTTCAATAGAGATAATGAAATTAATGAAGATTCGTGAGACCTCCGATTTTAGTAAAAATGGAAAAATCCAGCTAAAACGAGAAAAATCATCTGTTATTAAAAGATAATAGCGAAGCGAGGTGGCCGGAGAAGGTCCCCATACATCGGAGTGAAGAAGAGAGAGAGGAGTGTTTGTTCTAGTGTCAGAATTAGGAAATACAAGCTTGTGACATTTTCAAGAAAGACAAGAAACACAGTTTAAGGAAATCGGCATAATTCACAGTGAAGGATTGCTGTTGGAGATCGCAGTGAGGATGCGGCGATGAGGATGCCCAAGTCTTGCGTGCCAGTTTGGTTGCGGTGAGTGTACTGCGGAGAGAGCTTGAGTTGGTTGTTCTTGATTCTTGATCGAGATCGGGTACAAGCCGTTCTTACATGGGGCGCGAAGTAGAACCTTGTGCGTCTGCGAATCCTTACACACGAAGCCATTAGGATCAAAAGTGATTGCAATGTTGTTGTCACGAACAAGATTAGAGACAGAAATCAAATTGTAAGAAATGGAGGGAATGTGAAGAAGGCGGGATAAAGATAACATACGATCCGGGGTGGGAAGGATTCCGTTGCCTGAGTGAGCGATCGGAATGGATCTTTCGTCCCCAACTGTTATTTGATCCAAGCCGCGGTAGTATGAAGCGTTGCTGATATTATCCGAGTTATATGTCATATGCGAGGAGGCACCGGAGTCAAGATACCAGTCGGTGGAAGGCGACTCTTGTGCGGCAAGAAGAGCTTGTCCATTGTTGCCGGAGGACTGGACGGAAGGTGGAGTATAATTGGCGTTGTGCCGATGCCAACAAACATCCGCTGTGTGACCGCGTTTGGTACATATTTGGCATTGGGGCAGCGGCTTTGAACCTGTTTTAGGAGAATTTGTGTTGGTTGATTGGGAGCGAGAGCGGCCGCGACGTCCTCTGCCCCTCGTAGTATAGAGGGCAGCATTTGAGTCGGGAAGGGATGAATATCGCTGGCTGTCCGCTCGCAGGTGAATCTCTTCGGTAATGAGCATTGCGTAGAAGCTGTCTAGCGAGAGTGGGGATTGTATATAACGGATGGACGTCTTGAAGGACTGATAGGATTGCGGTAGTCCGTTTAGGATGTAGAGGATGATGTCCTCGGTGTCTAAGGTAGACCCGGCGGCAGTTATTTGATCGACGAGTTTCTTGATGTCCGTCAAGTAGTCCTGCATTGATAGATTGCGCATGGAGATGTTATGAAGCTCGTTTTTTAGCTGAATTACCTTTGATCTGTTAGAAGATTGGAAGCGGGATTGAAGTGCCGCCCATATCTCCTGGGTTGATTCAAGATGCATCATGAACGGGATCACCGGAGCAGAGATAGTAGAGCAGAGTGCAGCGGCGAGGTTCTGGTCGGTGATGATCCATTTGTGAGATTTTGTATCAAAATTAAACGAATCTTGACTTTCGGATGAAGAAGGGAAAGCCGGTGGTGGTTCAATAAACTGAGTGAATCCATTTGCCTTGAATAGTTTTAGGATCTGATTACGCCATACTGGATAGTTATCCGGCGATAGATGATGATTGACAAGAGTTTTGAGGTGTGCAAGAATGAATTTCAAGGATGGGTAAAGAAAGTTTGGATCGGTGGAATCGTCGTCGTGCGGTGAAGAAGGGCTAGGAGCTGTCGCCGGCGTGTTTTGCGTAGCCATTGGAGGTGGTCCGGAGGACCGTCCTTCGTCTGATTCCATGTGGAATCTTGAGAGAGGAAGCATCGGACAAGGTGAGAGACAGATGAAGAAGATGTGAAATCTTATTATGCTAATCATTGTTACAGGAACATATATATAGAAGTTGTCCATACAAGAATGTAC